TAAAAAACATTGATTATCTAAAATATGAATATGAAGAATAATTTAAACGTGTTTTGTGGATATTTGAAAAGGGATAATGATTATATGGAAGATTTTACTAGAGGAACAATTGTCAATTTCTAAAACCCTTTCATGATTTGTTTCTGCTCAGGGATTTGAGCACATCTAACTTTGTATCTTGTTGAATACTGATAAAATAATCATTCAGGTGTGTTGTTTATTACATATCCTTCACACAAGAATAAAAAAATATTTCCCATGAAAATGCGTGTTTTACAATTCAGCAATAAGTGTCTTGTTTACTTTGAATTTATCACGTAATAATTGTAAACCTGTTTTGTTGTATGCGTCGCAGCAGCAACAAGTGACGGAAATGACAACTGTGCATTCACTTGTTCGTTACCATGACATTGCGTTTGTTATGGAAACGACATGTGACGGTAATGACATCACTCATTTATTTATTTATGTGTGTGTGTGTGTTTGGGGTCGGGGTCGTCCTTCCATAACACTGATCGAGACACAAAGAAAAAGCATCACTGTTTGCATAATTATTCATTTGATACTCAAAATGGTTTACGATAACGCATTTGGTAATGACATGGATTTAGTACATATCATGAATCATGAAACGGATTTAGGATCTCATGTTAAATATTAAATTAACCTCAATCATCTCTGGCTAGCAAGCTGCTCTCTACAGCATCCTACTTTCTGATGAGAGTGATCTCCCTTGGAGCTAGTATTTTTAGAGTTTTATTATAGTAGTACTGTAACTGTTATGACAAAGAATCCTTGGACATGCATATTTCCTTTTAAAACAAGAGTCATCAGAAAGATGACATATCCCCCCCGGCAGCTGTCTGTAGAGTAACCACTAGTAAATGTGCAATTCTGTATGTAATGAGTCAACAGTTGAATGTTCTTTAAGAAGCATACATTGTTTACCAACTAGAAGGTTTTCAAATTCTGCCCCGGAAACGAATCCGTTCCCCAATGGAGTCTATGTCCAACTTCTTTCCATAAAAATTGTAAAAAATAAAAATTCGTAAAAAAATAACTATCAAAAGGCACCACTTCAGTATGTGCTGGATAGCTTTGCCAAGTTTCGATCAAATATACTGAATGTTTTCGAATTCTGCCCCGGAAACGAACCACATCCCCAATGGAGTATAGTCAAACTTCATTCCATAAAAATTTTAAAAAATAAAAATTAGAAAAATCCCAAAATATCAAAAGGCACCACTTCAGTATGTGCCTGATAGCTTTGCCAAGTTTCGATCAAATACACTGAATGGTTTTCGAATTCTGCCCCAGAAACGAACCCAATCCCCAATTGAGTCTATGTCCAACTTCTTTCCATAAAAATTGTAAAAAATAAAAATTAGAAAAATCCCAAAATATCAAAAGGCACCACTTCAGTATGTGCCTAATAGCTTTGCCAAGTTTCGATCAAATACACTGAATGGTTTTCGAATTCTGCCCCGGAAACGAACCCCATCCCCAATTGAGTCTATGTCCAACTTCATTCCATAAAAATTGTAAAAAATAAAAATTAGAAAAATCCCAAAATATCAAAAGGCACCACTTCCGTATGTGCCTGATAGCTTTGCCAAGTTTCGATCAAATACACTGAATGTCTTTCGAATTCTGTCCCGGAAACGAACCCCATCCCCAATTGAGTCTATGTCCAACTTCTTTCCATAATAATTTAAAAGAATAAAAATTAGAAAATCCCAAAATATCAAAAGGCTACACTTCAGTATGTGCCTGATAGCTTTGCCAAGTTTCGATCAAATACACTGAAGGGTTTTCGAATTCTGCCCCGGAAAAGGAAATGATTACGGACGGACAGACTGGCTGATCGCTATATCCCCCCGCATTATATGCCGGGGGGGAGATACAAATATAAATTTACCAATATTTTAGTATTTCCGTCAAATATATAATTATTTTTTTGTGTTTGTGAATATGCAATAATCTAAACCTTTTAAGGATTAAATTGAAAATACAGATGAACATACAAATGTGATTCCCGTGTAGGTAAGACCCGTGAGAATCCGGGGTATAATAGGTCTTCAGCACCCCATGTTTGGCAACTAAGCTTGTCGAAAGAGACGACTAACGGGATCAGGTGGTCAGGCTAGCTGACTTAGTAGATCCATGTCATCGATTGCGTGGACCGATGCTCATGGTGTCATTCACTGGATTGCCTGGTTCAGACTCAATTATTTACAGACCCCGTCATATAGCTGGAATATTGCTGAGTGCGGCGTTAAACAACCAACCAACCAACCAACCGTGTGGGTAGAACTGACACCATACACACATTAGTGAGTAATTATCTATAAAATAAATGTTTTTCATAAACTGAAATATGATGTTAATGAATGAAATTACCCTGAACTAAAATATCTAATTCGGATGTTATATTTTAAAGAAGTTTTCATTATAATAAAAATGTTTATGTTCGGGGAACCTGTTGTGCTGCTAGTTACAAAATCACCCATATCTAATCATTTGTTAACCGTAACCTAATTTTCATTCAGAAATATGCAACGGTTTTTGGAGGTCTGCTCTGGAAACGAGCTCTACCCTCATCTTTAGTATCAAAAGGAACCAGATTACCGCTACACCGATCTGCATTGCAAGTGTCAATGGTTTAGAAGTTATGTATCGGAAACAAATACTAACGGACATGTTGATATATTCTCGTTTTCAATAAAAAATGGTTAAGATTTATTAATATATTACTACCAAAGTGAATCAATTGATATGGAAATATATACCATTGAGCGGGCCTGGGGTGAACGGAGTATGTGTATATCACGGCATGTGTGTTGGTGTAAACTGGGTAAAGTTTGCAGTCTTGGTGCATCATCTGACATTCTACAGCACAAATCTGATGTCAAGGGAGAGAAGAGAACAAACATACCAAGTTTCTCAATAATTCTTGAAACTAGAAAGATTGAATGAAGTGGATTTTATGCACGTTTCAGCATTATTGTAGCCATGTCCAATTTGCACGTTTAAAATATGTTCAATCCAGTGCAGCAATCCTTGTCCCTGCCGAATTGTTCTTCCAATATTGGACCCGGGGTAGAAAAAGGTCTTCAGTAACCCATTCTTGCGGGATCGCGTAGATACCACAACACGAACATTCCAGCCGAATCATAAAGACTGGAGCCGGGCTGTCCTTAATGCATGACATCAAGTACCATCCAAAATGTATTTGGTATTACTGCGTCAATTCGAACCACGTATCTCCCGCTACTCTTCGAGGAACAATATAACATTTCTGAAGAAAAACCATGCATAGGATAATTCCTGCTTAGAAGGAACAGTACGTTCTAACAGGCTGATTATTTCAAATGGCACTGGCCATTTCCCTGTTTTTACTACAATAGACCACATAAAACACTATTAAAGTCAAAAGATTTATTGTCTGGTGTCCATACATTTAGGGGGCACAAAAGTTGATACTCAAATAGCCAATGATGGCAGTGTGCCTCATGGTACTGTTTTCTTGGTCACTGTGCAGACATGTCATGTACCATCTTGCCCCACACCCATGGGTGGGTGAACAAGGAGCAACTGCAGGATTTACATGTTTCTTTTCATCACCCGCCTTAGTACAAACCTGACAAACAAAACATAGCAATATTAGAATATTATCAATTTTAGAACACATCAATTTTTAATGCACATTTTCCCTTTTACTGACCAACGAGTTTGGCCTCAGTTGTAATAAATGCTTATTTTCAGAAAAATTCTAAATTATGTTTTTACCTGTATGTTTGGTTTTTGTCTGCTGACAGTATGAGTCATTGTTTCATCTCATTTGTGGGTTCCTAGAAGAAAAAAATAACATGAATGGTTACCAACCTAGAAAGAAATGAGCAAATGAACCAGACTTCAACCACAAAATTAAAAACTTCTCAGTGTTGATATGTCCCACACATCAGCATGACAACTGTCATTTAGTAGATTTGAATTTTTATGTCCACTTCCAAATTTGGTCATTTGTTCAGGAATAATGATTCAAGAGAAATGAGACAATGTTTAATTATTAATAGTGGTTTATGAAATCTGATTACACACAGTAAACCATCTGGACAAAGGAAAGGGTGATAAGACAAAAAGGAATTCAATCTATTACAAGAAAGTTGTTATGAAACAATACTACTTAGAAACAAACTCATTATTCCTTAAGTATTACATCATCCCAATTACTTTTACATGTACTTGACAACTTAATCCATGAAGAGCCCAATAATGAATCAGTAAACACTAGAACAAACTCCTACCTTACCTTACGTACATAGATGTTCCTGCATTGCTAACTTGCTGGTGCTATCTAGCCTGCATTTGGAGCTGAAGGAGGATTGCCTACACTAGGTAACCTCTAGGAGACCAGTGTTATACATAGCTGGCAACTAACACATAGATCTAAAACATACAACATTCAACCACCCCCACAATATTCGTGCATATATCAACAATAATGGTTTGCCCGTGTCAAAGAAATGCGGTACATCAACCCAATGTAGAAAGCCAGCAACTAGTCAATATCCCATCGAAAAATGAGAATTAACATTCTGTTCTGTCTATGGATATACATTTTGCATGATCACATGTACCAATTTCTAGCCACTTGATCCACAAATAACATGCATGGCGACTCATACAGCCTGCCTCCCAATTGCACATATACCCACTGTGCATAATCTGTATCTTTACCAGATCTGAAGAATTTCAGCAGTATACCAAGAGACACTATTTGATATAGTTTGACAAACTGCGAAAATCAACAGACAATACAGAGAAGCTAATGATCTTAGAGCACAGGTGGGTTTGACCTGCATGTAACCAACAATACTTGGACAGTGATGCATTTCATCCCTTCCCCAAATCCATGGTCTGCTGCTGCCGAGTCAAATCTCTGGCTTTTCACGAACAAAATGTACACAAACTGAAGACACTGAATAACATAAGCTCTATTTCTGGTGTTTTCACATTTATTAAGACTGCCCACAACTTGTTACAAATAAATGAGTAAAAAGATAGCACAAATAATGAATAGTCTCATGTAATGGTGGTCAAAGTGATGATTTCCATGGCATATGATCAGGTTTGATTCATGATTGATGTAATAAAATACTTTCTTGCTCTCCCTACAGCTTCTGGGGACAGGAAGACAGCCATTGGACAGTTCATTTCAGGTTGTTCACTAATAAATACTCCTTGCAATGTCCATTATGCCTGCTCTAGCACTACGCTCCAATAGCCACACCACACCGGCTACAAAGGGAGACAACTATCCTCAAGGTGACTCTTGCTTAGAGCTATCTGTGTATCGTCGCCTCAATTCCTTACTCTCCCTTCAGTCTTGGCTCTATCTTGATGCTACGTCTCTGATGTCCATAGTGGACACTTGCCTCCTTGTAGCTATGGTAACATGGTGCTATGGTAACCATAATTGCTGTTGAAACACTTATCCCTGATCTATGTCTGCCTGCCTGCCTGCCTGCCTTATGCTGCTGCTTAATGAGAACCTGCCTGGTACAATCAAATAATGCAAAATGTAAATATACGAACAACTCAAAATCATCAATATCCAATCATCATTATCATTACAAAGAAGCTTCAATATATACTAAATCTATCATAACCAACTGATGTTTACTTCTGAAAACCTCCTTGGCACTTTAAGAACTGATCTTTGTTACTGTGATGATGTAAATTTGGTGATGATGGGATGAGATACTTACATGGAGAGCCTGTGTGAGAGGATGGGGTTTATCTTCTGTTGTAGCCGCCACCACCTCCAAAGTTACCACCTCCATAGCCACCGCTGCCGCCGCCACCACCTCCACTACCGTAACCACCTGAAAAAGTATATGGTTATTACATTTATAATTCTGAATTGGTATAAAATGAATTTCTGTTACCAACCGTAAATCACATTTTCATTCACGTCAAGTGGTATGTCACCAGCAAAACAAATCAAAATACATTTAATGACATTTTCAATGATTTTTCAAGATGACCAATAAACCAGGACCTACCTCCATAAGGACCAGAGGATCTCTGATTGTAGCCACCACCACCACCACCTCTCATGGCACCACCTCCATAGCTCTCCCCGTAACCAGATCCGAAGTTGTTGCCGCCGCCGCCCTGGTTCCAGTTCCCACCCTGCTGACCAGCCCCATAGCCGCCACTTCCATATCCTCCATCATACCCGGCACCACCGCCTTGATTGCCATAGCCACCGCCATAGCCTCCTGCAGATAATAAATTCATTGGTTACTCATATTATTGATTTACTGATCGTAGCATTGATCTATTTGGATGAACACTACTGGTTTGCTGCCAACAACAAACCATGTCACACAGAACTACCTTTTTTAAAATCATAATATTTAACATGCTTCCGATTCAGAACAATATTCTCTGGTTTAACTAGAAGGATCTGGTATCTATTTGTTACGCTGTTAACAAAAACCACACTTATACCCACACACTATAAAAATAAGACTTGCTCAGGCGATTATGATTACCAACCTGGTGACCCTCTATAAGACCAGTTATAGTTAGGCCCACCACGACCCATGGGACCTGGTCCTGAAAAGTCATTAATTATACTAAATAAGTGACATACCCATGCGTAAGACCTTTACAGCTAAATGATTTTGCTCTACTAAACTATTCTTCACTGACAGGTGATGATCAACTGTCATCCAATATCTTATTACAAACGTTTGGTTTGGGCTTCCTACACACCTTAACAAGATTCATCAGCATTCGCCAACACCTGACGAGAAAAAAATAAAAACAAAAAAAACTGACCTTGGTTGTATCCTCCTTGGCCATAGCCACTCTCACCGCCTCCATAGCCGCCGCCGCCACCACCACCACCGCTGTACCCACCACGGCCTCCACCACGTCCGCCGCGCATACCGCCACCACGGTTTCCTTGTTCCTGCTGTTCCTTGCTGAGCGCCTTCTTCACCTCTACTTCCTTCTCCTTGATAGTGTGACGCTTTTTTACTGCAATAAAACAGACAATACCATGTAACGAACTATATGGTACTGAAGACCGCTTCACAGGTACAATTTCTGCTTATGCTTATATCCACTTATGTGATATGTGATATGTGCAACCAAAAATCATCCTACAGCGTGTTAAGTCTTCTGATAGTGTGAACAGTTGTTTAAATAGATTTTTATGGTAACAAAGGCATACTTACAAACACATTTATCAACACTGTCATGATCATCAAATGAGATGAAGGCAAAGCCCCTGAGCTTCTGTGTCTGTTTGTCCTTGATGATGTCAATAGAGTTGATTGGACCAAATTGTTCAAACACAGCTCTTAGATCATCCTCCTCCATATCATCCTTGATGCCACCAACAAACATCTTCTTTACAGATTGCTGAGATTCGCTGCGACCACCAGAGTCACGCTATATCAAATACAAATATCAAATAAAGATGGTTAAAGGAAGTGTTTAATATGTATCACAAGGAAAACTACATGATATATTTAGTGTTACCCAATTAACTACAAGACCGGACAAAGAGGACAAATAATAAATGTCAGAATGCGTCAAAACTGTTTACTTTGAATGAGTTGGGTTTAACACAACTTTAAAATGGGCTTTACAGTGACATCCATCAATGGGTTTCTCACCTCTCTGGGCATAGCTCTCTTGGACTCCACCTCACGTCCATCTATCTTGTGAGGACGCTCACCTTGGGCAAGGTCAACCATGGCAGCTTCTTTGTATGTGATGAAACCAAAACCTCTTGACCTGGAAAGATATCAATGCATACAAATTTAAAATGAATCACTTTTCTTCAGCAAAAGGTAACATTTCATAATCATACACGGACATTCATGTGTTTCCGCGTCACAAAACACTTATACACAATGGAAAATAGAAATGTCGACACGAAATTTCATATGCAGGACACCCAATGGTCAAGGAGTTGACATCTATGACCAAACTAAAACTTTACTCATTAACTTTAGTTTCAGTTTGCTTAATCCTTAATACACACACACCTCTTTGTTTCTGGGTCTCTCATAACGACACAGTCAACAATCTGACCCCACTGTTCAAAGTGAGTTTTGAGGCTTTCTTCTGTGGTCTCATAGCTCAAACCACCAATGAAGAGTTTCCGGAACTGTTCATGTTCAGGGTCCTTGGGTACCCAGCTTCCGCCTCCACGTCCACCTCCTCTGCGACCGCCACCACCGAATCCTCCGTACTGAAACAAAATCCTATATGTTAGTTAACTAGGCCATTGATGATACGTTACATGGCCTTAGAAAGACTAGTACAAAGCACTAAACGTTATTTCACTTGTTCTGTTTCAAAGGCAAACCTTTACATTTTCTTATCCGTTTCTGTTGCAAAACAGACGCATCAACAATTGAATTAGAATAACCCTGACTGGGCAGTCAATGGGGACATCCATCATTGGATTTGTACATGTCCCCAGCATAATTTAGTAGTCACGGGTGAATTAGGATATTAGGACATATGAAATAAGAAAAACAAATCATTCTTCGGACAATGAATCCGACGTTTTGTTTCCGTCTTAATTTGTTATGGGTGTGGCACTTGACCAAACTCTTAAAAATCGAATGGTGATATACATCACGCATTACCAAATACATATATGCGCGCTAAGTAGAACAATATATCTAAGCACGTGATTTCTCGGAAGAAAACCGCCTCCTGAAAGTAGGGCAGATAACACGTGGGCCATATGAAAATTCGATCCCATTCTGAAAAAACGTGAGCCATGCCAAGAAATATTTTATCAAAGTAAGATTAAATCATAGGAACAACAAAATCAAACACTGTTCAGCAACAATGATACCATAACAACAATTCCCTTGTGTTCATCAACTGAGAAAACATGTCCGAACACAGACGCGCACTACGACGCCATTGATTAATTCGATCAATCTAGAAACAGCTTCCCTTTGCACCAGTATTTACAATGCCCAAGTGTATGAGGTAACAAACATATATCAAAGTTAAACTTTCGGGAATATAAAACTTATTTTCATGCAATACATACCTCAGGCATATTCAGATGTACTTCTTGTGCTGATTCACAAACTAGAATGAACTGCAGACAAAGAGCCCAGCCTACTTATAATACCAGACATGCGCAGTCGGTGGTATGATGTCATTGATCGCTTCGGACCTTTCCGGCAGCCCCACAAAACTATTCGGATAGTCTCGTCTAGTTCCGGAAGGTTTATCGCCAGGGGTGCAAAGAGTTTTCCTCCCAGCATCAAATTACCGTGGGTTGCATAGATTTATTTCTTGATGCCTCTCATGTTACAAATTTGAAAATGCGTTGCTTTCCAACATTTTCCTCCTGTTCACTCATAAAAAGTAATAGATAATCGTAAATTATTTTAACAGCACAAAACTATTTTAGTAAAGGATAATTATCAGTAAATTTATGTACTTTTAGATTTTGTAATATTTTATTCATGTTTAATAAATATGCATGTAATGTGTTCTCAGTTTTGACACTGAAATACATCAATGAAAAGGTGTGTGCTAAGGGGAAATAACATAGCAATGTGTGGTTTCCATGTTGTGTTTTTAATTTTCTCATGGTTTAGACACATTCATATTAATGGTTATTTCTCCAGCGACTTCCTGACATAACATAAATGCTTTGTCTAAGGTATAGTTAGACTAAAATCTAGTCTCTGAAATGAACATATCGTACATAAAAAAAACAGTTGTTTAGTTATCTTAATAAAAATATAATAAAAAGGAGCCCAGTGACTCTCTTCATTTTGATACTGCAGTGATCTAGACTTGCCAAACATTATAGTCTTGCATGGGCTGTATTTGATATATATTTGTATCAGGGTCTGTAAGACAAACTAAGGTATAGTTTATATTAGGATATAGTTTTTTTCGAGAAGCCTACCCATTATATGTCAATTAACTATATATAAATGTTTGATTCAGTGAAAGTATGGTATACATGTTTGTTATTTTCAATGGTCTTCCTCTCTAAAAAATCACCTTATTCGCTAAGGTAACTAAACAAATTAAATATTATTCAATGTAATTCAGACGTTGTACAATGCATTCACCTTATGATATATGTCAGTGTAGCTTGTCAACAGTATGAAGGATACACATGTCAGAATGAGATGATTATAATGAATTACAATGAATAATTATATAATTTAATATTCTACAGCTGCAGTTTGCAAGAGGAAAACCCCCCAGATATATTGATACTATCGTTTGTTAAATTTCATCTGCCAATCTGCCATTGAAAGGGTTAATTCTTCTGGACATATACTTAGATGTATGGTGTTAATTACTTATGTAATAGGTATTATAAAAGCCGGTCTGTATATTGGACGGATGTGATTAGTGTCAAACCCAGGTGGCTTAGTGCACAATGGACTGCCTGGACATGTGGCCTTCAACGGTGTCTGTGATGCGCGCGCATGCCCTCGGACAATAGAGGTTAATTGTACAGCTTATCCGCTCCCTCGGGCGATATGACCTCAGGGGCTTTTCTATTGTTGAAAATATCGATGTTTCGCCGACAATGGTCATCGCGTCATCTGTATTGGCCAGTGACGAGATCAAACGATGCGGCGGATAGCACAAACGCGAGTGTGTACAAATTATATTTTATGACCTCTCAATGAAGTCCACGTTGGTCGACTTAGCCGGAGTTGCCTCCTACACAGATCCCCCGTGAGGGATAACGCCACAGACAACATTAGTATCGTGGTGGTCTTGCACTTTTACCCGACGTGAGGAACTCAGGAGAGCTGAGAGAACTCAGAATATCTTGTGTTTGCAACAATCATATTATCGCAATATATACGCCACTTGTAACACGTTATATGTGTTGTGATTTGACAAATACATTTTTAATAAAGACATTTTCTTATTTGCTAGAAAACTCCGTTTCCCTTTAACTGAACACAAGACGGAGCCTTTGTTGTCTCGTGTGAACTCCGTGGTCTCATTCAGTTACTGAACTGACCTTTCTCACACTCAAGGCTACATAACATAGCATATTGTGGTTAACAAGGAACATTAAATACAATGACGATCTATACTTATTATACAAAATCGTTGGTGAGTAAAAGCATTTCATATATTACTTAAATGTACGACTGTCTTTGTTGTTTACCCCAGATTGTTGTAATATTGATTGGTTGAGATATATCGCAAGAGTTAAGCTAACATTGACATGTGATAGTACACATAGTCGATAAATGTAACCATCTCTATCATTGCCTACACCAAGTGAACGTCTTATGCCCATCTCTCTAATAGTGAAATAGGTTCTATCAGTTTGTCGACGCTATTCAAAATAGTGCATCGGGGGTCCTATATATGTTTGAAATATATAGATTTCACGAAATATGTGAATCTGGATTTGCAAAGACTACTATTAAATATTACTACCGCTCCAGATGTCATCAGTTATAATTTATAAAGTCAGGGGTAAGTAATAAGGTAGAAATAAGTAAATACACAGTAGTCGCCTCTGAAGTTTAAAACCTTGTAAGAAAATATCAGATACACGAGAGTTTAAACGATACAGTTTGGACATCCGCAGGAGGCTGATATAAAAACATGAACGGATTTTAATATTTCTAAAATAAATCTTTGCTGTAACATTTTCATCAAGAATATAGTTCCTCTATCACACCATGGGTTGTGCTATTTCCGTAACCTGTAGCCCCCACAATAGAAGATGCCATTTTAAGTTCCAAGAAACAACTTCGTACAAATGTAGTTGGGTCCATGCACAGTTTATTTGCAACCTTTTGAGATGAAATTAAAACATATCTTTGGAGGGTTATTTGACAGCTTCATTTTGAAAAACTACGTGTTTATTCAACCTTTTTTTCAACTAATGAAAACTTGGATAATTTTAATGTTGAACTGTCTAGTATACAGAGAGAAAAATTAGAGACACATTTATTAAACTTAAGCTAGGGTTAAATGATTTGATGTGCAACAGGGGTCGCTTCTCCTCTATTCCTAAGGATATGCGTTTTTGTCCATTCTGCGAAAACCATATTGAAAACGAATTACACTTTTTGTTTATATGTCCAATTTACGACAACCTAAGATTGAAATATATGCCTGATATTACTAAGAACCACTATTCCATGAACAAAATACTATCTTTTAATGGTATCCCTAGTCAAAAACTAACTAAGATATTACAATACATCCATCAAAGTCTACGAGTGCGTAGTAAATTACTTAGTGAATCCGATATGTCCAGAAAAAAATAGTAGTTTTGAAACTTTCGCATCTAGATCAGGAGTATCTACATTTCATGTTTGTCTGTTTGTTTCTACTAGAAATGCATATACATTTAAATTGTCAAATTGTCATGACATGATGAGTATATTACTGATAGATTATTTTGTATTGAACGTCGTGCTATGCTATTCCATTCCTTTTGTATTTTATACTACTACTGCCACTTTGGTTATTACCACTGTTATTACAATACCTCATATTAGTTATCCAATAATTATATAATGCGCTGTACAGCTGTAAATGATATTGTGTATCTGTATGTGTATATGGGCCAATGGCCTTTCATACAATAAAGATTGATTGATTGATACTAGTTAGATTTGTTTCATACATTTGCAACTACCCGTGCCACCTTTTCGGAATGTTCTAAAATAGCGGCCCTTTGACACATGTGTAGTTACCCGTTTCAAGAGACCGCCGTTCCCAAAGCCTTCTTGCTGGCATTGTATTTATACATTTGAAACCTCGTGTTAAAGCGCTCGATTCAAAATTAAAATGAGAGGTATCTATTCATCTATTCCACAGTGGGCCAACATCAAATTTCAAAGCACAGGTTTTCTCCTAAATATACAACCACCTGAATTATTAAGTATATTTAAGTATTACATAAATGTGGTTTAATACTTCTAGCCAGCGATTATATTTTGAAACTTCAAGGCAGGTGTATATGCACGAAAGTTTTACTTGTACACTTGAAACAAGGTTGACCTTCGGTATATGATCGGTTATGTGGTGACTTTATGATGGGGCAGAGTGATATCGGGGCAACATTTGTACATAATTAGAACATGTGCTACTGCATTTCTACTTATTTAGGGTGAAGCCTATTGCGCATAGACTTCTGCGCATGCATGTTCACATTTGTTGCATGTTTTCATGAGGGTACCATGTGTATACTCATCTCGCGAAGACGGACGAGTGGGATTTTCTGCTTCACAATTCACAGCAGACAGCTATAGTGGTAGTGTAAATGTATGGCTGAATGTGCAAATCTGCACCATTTCATAACATGAACGTGTGGATCTTGTGTTTAAAACCCACTCCAGTTTTGCAATGGAATGTCTGTCCAGGACCAACTTGCACAAAGCGATCTTAGCGCTAAGATGCTCGTAACTCCCATACTTTAACATAGCCTGACGATAGTTGTAGCGCTAAGGTCGCTTTGTGCAACTGGGCCCTGATCGGTTACCCATGTGCGTGATGTAACTTCTGGTCACGCTAAATTCATGACAGCGAGTCTGACCCACCAGTTTGAAGTGTACTCGCTCCATGGTTTAAAACAACGCTGTTGCTTACGCTTCTGACAGCTACAACCAAAGCTGTTGGTAATCAGAGTCTTCATCATGAAACCAGTGACTGAAAGCCATCATCCTTGATTTCATCCCGGGTACGGCATACACGCGGGCCGAAGTTCACAATGCTATCATAACAAGTCAAGCATGGGTCAGACACGTATTAGCGACATTGCATAATCGTGGCATTGCCACTGTGTTGTCAAGGTAATACGCAGCAATCTCGGTCATGTAATTTGAGAAAGCTGCGACTTTCAAACAAATTTGCTACGACGCTAATTGACCCGAACCCATTATTTATCTGAAATCTTTCATTTGTTGTAAGATGTGAAAATGGAGGGACGAGTGAAGTCTCAGTCGTCATGGAAACAAATACAGTAAACTACGGTTATAACGAACTCAAAGGGGCCACTAATTGTAGTTCGTAATAACCGTAGTTCGTTATAAGCACATGTAAAACATAATTTCAACAGATGGCCGTGACTACAAAATAAGTTCGTTATTTCGGTCAGTCCGTTATAACCGTGTTCGTTATAAACGTAGTTTACTGTAACCAGGTCCAAAAACTTTCAAAAGATTCCCCTGGTTTGTAATATGCACGAGATAAAGGTGCTCTAAATCATCTGCCTACTTAGTTCCCCAATTCTCCAGAAGTGGCATCCAACCGAATACATATGCCTGCATTTGCGCAAAGGGAGATAATCATATACTATCGTCAGAAAATGAGCAATGCTATTTGACTTTGAGAGTGTTGGACCAAGCGCCCCGTCGACAGTTTTCAGACAGTATGACACCCATTTAAACGTTATACAAGTTTGGTGGTGAACTCGCAAGCCCATGATGCAGACAGATCAAGGATCATATTCAGGGAGAACCTGCAAACCGGATGCAGCCTTGCCTTGTGAACGACAGTTCAGCAGGTAGCCATTGTTGCCCATGGCATGCTTAATTGATCCCACTTAATTAATCAAAGCCACGTTAGGTCAGCAACCCTTTCCAGCTCCTTCCTGTCAGGAACGTCTGTATGGGATACAGGGGACTACTGCATACCAAGGATTCGCAAAGTATTCACTCAATGTCTTTTTGGCATCTTTGAAGACAAGCAACAAATTGCTGGACAATTTCTCATCCCTGATTAAAAAACCCTTCACTTCAACGTCCTCCTACACTGAACATGCTGAAGGACAGGTTTGCAAAGTGTGTGTGTGAATTTCAAAATAATAACATACCTTCAGACTGAAATGCCTCATACTCCCTCAAAGGAAAGTGAGCCAAATATTTACTCATAATTATTCATTAGTGGCAACTTCAAAACTGATAGTTGAACATTATGGTTAAATGCCCCATTGAACAGTATTAAAGTTATATCACAGCATTGTCAGCTTCATGTGTGTGGAAAGCCACAAGTCATGAAGTTCTCAGATGTTTACCACTTTGGTCAAACCAACAAGCATGCTGACAAAGGAACATCATTGGGGCTAACCAGGATTCGAACCCACGAACATAAGTTTCTGGCGTGCCCAAGGTATGCAACTCTTCCCAGTGAATTGGGGTGCCTCGGCCGACTGGACCATCCCTGTCCCAGATTCATAACTGAAGATGCACAGTGGTTGTGTTCATAAGTAAATCCATGCAGGAATATTCACATAAATCTTGTATGGAACACATGATTGGTTGGTTGGTTGGTTGGTTGGTTGGTTTGTTTGATGTTTAACGCCACACTCAGCAATATTCCAGCTATATGAAGGCGGTCTGTAAATAATCCAGTCTGGACCACACGATCCACGCAATTGGGATCGATGATATGCATCAACCAAGTCAGCGAGCCTGACCACCCGATCCCGTTAGTCGCCTTTCACAACAAGCATAGTCACCTTTTACGGCAAGCATGGGTTGCTGAAGACCTATTCTAACCCGGAATCTTCACAGATTGGAACACATGAAATGGTGGTGTTAAAACCACTGCTAATTCACCAATCTTATTTGTGCCATCGGTGAACCTTGAGATAATTTCCTACAACAGCTATAGACAGTGTCAATACTGAACCTCAGAACAAGTATAGTATCTTGCCAATAATTTATGAAATCATAAATATCCAGGTACAACTGAAGTTTCTCTGGCACTGCGAGGCCAATATAAATAGTGTGAAACTATATATTTCAGTCACACAAAACAAAAAGTGGAAAAGAGCCCAGGTAAATTGCTATGGGAGAACACTTTCAGAAAAAGAAATCGCACCTGCCTTTACCATATTTCGATCCTGAGGTCCAACTATTTAACTTTAATTTGTCTAATGAGCTAATTTGCACCTGTGAAACTACAGTGATCTGTCACGTTTGTTTCTTGTAAGACCATTAAAGTAGCTCACTGGCACTGGTTGTATTTACAAAGAGGTTTTGAGCATGCACAAGTTTGAGTGAGTGAGTATGGTTTTACGCCGCTTTTAGCAATATTCCAGCAATATCACGGCGGGGGACACCAGAAATGGGCTTCACACATTGTACCCATGTCGGGAATCGAACCCGGGTCTTCGGCGTGACGAGCGAACGCTTTAACCACTAGGCTACCCGACCGCCCCTGCACAAGTTTGAACAGCTGTTATTCTCTCTGTTGAAAATATTAACCTGACAAAAAACCTGCACCATCAAAAGTAAATGCCAAATATATTTTATTCACTGCAAGGAATGATTAATCTAAGAATACATTGAATGGCACTATAGCCTTCCTAATTCCATGTACAACAGGAGATATACTAAGCAGCGGGTATAGTTACAGAGTCTATAAAGTGCACTATGCAGGGGACAGGAGAAACATACCTTGTATGATAGACTGTATTGATTCACCATCGCATGTTGACACTTGTGCTAGGACGTTCACTAAACTACTCGCCGATATAAATCGACATTTTATCATGCTTCCACGTTGCGGAGATAAATAATCTTTTTCAAGATTTTTAAAAATGAATTACATCTTAAAGGAGAAAGTTTTTTCAGTTTACTGGGTCTCCAGTCTTTATTTTCATTCGCACTTACAGCTTCTGAATTCATATTGCCTCATGGCTCGATACAGGGCTAAAAATTATCAAGAGCCCTCTTCCATCAGCTGGTTAGATGTAACATTCTTAGAATGTCCGATTATGTCTTCACCACCTGGTTTGCCAGGATAATTTATAACCCTGTATTGTATCACAACTGCACTAGCAAGATATGCATCATATTGCGACAGCGGATATCGTTACAGCCCTTATTTAGGAATGTGCTGAAATATCGCGGACAATCAAATCCCTCACTTTGAGTGGCAACAGTTTGGGCCAATTCATCATTGGCTCTTCATGGTTAAAATAACAGAAAACTTACAGATTTTTTGGATGATATTTAATTCCGCGGAAAAATGATGGAACAAAAATCATGATTTATAACTAAAAATGTGAGAGCTTGGTAAAAAGCTGATGAATGACAATGTGGTAGTTACAGTGTGATCGGATGGTTAGAGCAGCAATGATGCGAAGGTCCAACTGCCCAGGTTCACAAAGGCTGCTGGGAGATTTGCCCACTGCAGTTCCGCTGTTCCACACCGCATTGCGGACGACAGCCAGCTGTTGGTCCCCGTGACAGGTGCTTTCCTAGGTATCTGATAACTTGTCTGGAGGAGTGTTCAAAGTTTGTTTGTCTCAATAGAGGTAGTTGAAACACACCACCAGACTATAAACATAGTAGTTTGCCCGTTTGCCTGCCCTTATGAATGAACCCGTCTGAAAAACAAGAGGAACTGTGTAAAACTTGTTGAAATTAGGACAATAAATTGCGTATTGTTTAGCACCTTCTTGCGTTAGGCCTCCATAAACATGGTGTAGCACACCTTGGAGCCTACATAGCACCCACATTGGAATTTGAATTTTGTTCATAACAATTCAAGAAAATAGTGAGTGAGTTGGGTTTAAAGCTGCTTTTAACAGTATTCCAGTTATATAGCGGCGTGTAAGCTTAATGTGGGAGGAAAGCCCGAAGTGATGCAGGTCTCAGACATTTACCACTTTGGTGAAACCCACGAGCACGGGTATGGTGCTGACAAACCTAGAAACATAATCGGGGCGAACCGGGATTCGAACCCACAATCATAGGTTTCTGGCGTGCCCAAGGGACGCAACTCTGCACAGCGAATCAGGGCGCCTTAGACGACTGAGCCACCCGTGCCCCCTCAAGAAAATAGTTTTTTTGAGCAAGAATTTTGCATCTTTGCATAATTTCTTATACATGTCAATTCATAACATGAGTGTCATCTGAAACTTTCCTCCATAAACATCAGTATCTTATATTATTAAGGACTACCTTTCAGTACTAAAACATCTGAACATTTCTTTGGCAAATAAGCTCAGCTAATACTTGTATAATGAACTAGAAATACTGAATACAATACAAAAACAAATGTATCGGCTTCCACACTTGAAGAATTTGTCCTGAGCTCTGAAATACAGTGACATCCCTGGTGTTGCAGTAGACAGTGCATCACATGGCCTGTTACCTTCATGGTCTAAGTTACCTTTACATGGTCTGTTATCTTCTTGCGGTCTTACAATATACTTGGGACGTTACCTTCACATGCTGTAAGTTACCTTCATGTGGTCTACCCCAAAATACTTGGGCCCCGTTACCTTCACATGGTCTAAGTTACCGTCACATGGTCTAAGTTACCTTTGAGTGGTCTAACACAAAACTTTGGGCGTTACCTTCACATGGTCTTACATAAAATACTCGGGGCTGTTACCTTCACATGGTCAAAGTTACCTTTGTGTGGTCTAACACACTACACTTTGGGCGTTACCTTCACATGGTCTAACATAATATACACGGGGCTGTTACCTTCAGCAAACTGAGATACACACCAGAGGATGGACATCCCATGATCTAGTACTTGTTTCCTCCATATCCTCCCCGTCCACCGCTGCCGTATCCACCGCTGTTGTAGCCGCCTGCAACACGGCACCAGATATATATGTACAGGTGAGTTGGACGTGTCACTGTCATTGATTCAGCCATATTTCATTTACAAACCATGTCTATCATTTCTTTATCACTTTGTACCCAAAACTCACTAAAGTACTCATGGAAATGAAAAAACCTGTTTTTTCGATCCAGATTTTAAATAAATGCAGTTAATATACAAAATGTATAAATATTCAAGGGTATCAAGGGTTTTTATGTCTTTTTACATGTAAAAGTGTGTAAAAATGTGAACAAAACAGACTATTGTGAAACTGAGCATAACCAGGTGTTAGTAGGTGAATGTCCATAACCTATGACACCTTGACGACAGGTGAAAACAGGTGCTTGAAACCCATGTGCATGTGATTTGTCAGTGGTTAGTGATTTGTGAGTGGCATAGTGAATCATCCTCAAAATATTAGAACGTAAAAGTAACATATTCCCTTCTCAAACAACAACTTACATGTCATTATTATTATGTACATAAACATAGCTGTTATTTTTATTGTTGTTTTGATAACTTTTTTCCAAGGCTAATTTGCATAATGCTGATAGGACTTAGTTTTATTTTTGAATGTTGAAAGTGCCTACAAATTACCTCCTGTAAAGTACATTTTGTATTGAGCACTGAGATAAAATTAGCACATCCAGACTAGTAATTTTCCAGTTGTTTTGTTATTTCGTATTTACATCTACATAATGCTTTGTGTCGATTATTAAATCCAGCAAAACAGGTTTTTTTCATTTCCATGAGTACTTTAGTGAGACGTACTAAAAGTCATCCTCACCTTCATATGATCCTGAAGATCTGTGTGAGTAGTTACCTCCTTTCATGGCACCACCGCCTCCACCGTAGTTGTCCCCGTAGCCAGAGCCGTAGCCCCCGCTGCCTCCCCAGCCACCTTGGTTGCCGTAGCCCCCGCCATACCCGTCATAACCACCGCCATGGCCCCCCCAGTTGCCACCGCCACCACCCCCACCATACCCTTGATTGTAACCGCCATAGCCTGAAAACAAAGAGATAATAGGTTTCTTGTTTTGTTTGTTGTGTAACACCGCACTCAGCAATATTCCAGTCATGACGGCGGTATGTTGGTTGGTTGGTTTGTTGTTTAACGTCGCACTCAGCAATATTGCAGCTTTATGACCACGGTCTGTAAATAATCGAGTCTGGACCAGACAATCCAGTGATTGATATCATGAGCATCGATCTATGCAATTGAGATACAATGACATGCATCAACCAAGTCAGCGAGCCTGACCACCCAATCCCGTTAGTTGCCTTTAACAACAAGCATAGTCGCCTTCTACGACAAGCATAGTCGCCTTCTACGACAAGCATAGTCGCCTTCTACGACAAGCATAGTCACCTTCTACGGCAAGCCTGGGTTGCTGAAGACCTATTCTACCCCGTAATCTTCAGGGGTCTAATAAATTTGATATGAGGATCATGGTGTAGTGTACCGAATATATAATAAATATTTGAGAGCAGAAAGAATCAATAATCAAGTGGACAGTGGTCATGATGGATGAAATAACTGCTCACAATAAGTATATTTGTGCGCCCCTTGGGACACAGCATATTTTTTTTTCTGCTCCCATTCTCTACATTTGTGCATAGTCATCTCCCCGAGGCAGGAGAGTTAACTGACTTTAAAAGTCCAGTTTCCACCCTTGCCGAACTAGGCCCAAATTACTGGGCTCGATCGTAGGCTACCAGTGGCTATTACCAGTTATGTCCCTTCTAGGCCTCCCCTATGGACCAGTCAGATTCCACTTCTCGTATCGCTTGCGTTTGCTTCACACAAAAAGGTGGCGCCGAGTCAGGACGATCTGATTGATAATCAAGATCTATATTGTGATAAAGCGGGTCTTACTTCGCGAAAGGCATCAAATCAAGTGAGCACCTTGATTAAAAACATGAAAAGATTTGGAAAATATCTGCTGACAAGCTGGCGGTGCTCTTGATTTGAAAATCCTGCAATCGCCCGAAATCTGCACGACAGTTTACGTAGCGGATTTCGATTTCGGTACGCAATTTTGATTGGACTATGCATAGACTTGTAAGTCCAGCCAAAATGTAACTCCATAATACCAGCCTAGTTCGGCAAGGGTGGAAACTGGACTTTTAATGTCAGTTAACTCTTGCCTCGGGAAGATGGTGCATTGTGGACACGTAAAACCCTGCATCTAGTCTGACATGTAAGTCTGTTACCATGGTTATTTAGAATAGCTTGCTTGTTGAGAAATGAAGTTACATGACTGGAGGGTTTTACCAGATGCATGATATTGTGAAAAAAACCCACCATATTTGAATCGTATTTATCAAAATTGTAGATTGTAATTTACATAGAACTGACGCTTAAATTCTGGCAAGAGCAACTTGTTTTCTGGATCTGAATGGTTCTTGAAATCTACATCCATAACAGACATTAGGTTCCTATATATTTCATCCATCATGACCACTGTCCACATGATTGGTTCTTTCCACGCTCTAAAGTAATTATTATATATTCAGTACACTACACCATTTCATTACTTCATGGTTCTTCTTGAAATCTACATCCATAACAGACCTGAGGTTCCTGAGCTTGTGATCGATATAGCATAAAATTTAATTGGAAATCAAGTGCAGGTGCCACATTTATTACTGAGAATACCACAGATTTGGGTCAATCACTAAGACTGGATCATACCTTTGTGAGCTATTTGTTCTTGTGAAGTGGTTATAAAATTGGGGAGATTCCTATGCGAGGTGGGGTGCTGCCTTCAGTAGTATCCTGCTATTCTTCAGTGGATCTTAGTTTTTTTAAACTTAACATTTGGGCTATGACCTCTTAATATTTTTTATCTTTTTAACACTGGTAACAGTAATATTTATTTACATTCAAAGGCTGAAGATTACGAAGTATAGAGTTGCGGAACGTTTGTTAATTTGTTATCCATACTCATGATTCCTCTGCTTGCGTTGGGTCTGAACATCACTCCTCAGTATCCTGAGAATGAAGTTTATTACTGGCAACAGTGGTTCTATTTTTCTTCAGTTCAAAGCCTTATTTGTAAGGCGAGTTCTTGAATGATTGTTTCCAAAGCATTGTTAACCTTGCAATTAACACCACCAAAAAGTGAGAAGGTTTGTAATAGCAGGATTCATAAATCAGATAAGGCCTTCCCATAATGCAACACATCTTTCACAGATGAAGATTGGCATGTAGCATGGTCTGAATATGTAGCATGAATAATGTTTTATGCCAGTCAGCAATATTTCCGACATAAACTGCCTTATTCATGTTTCATGGTTTTTTTAATGGGCCATGCGAACAAGCGGTTGATAGGAAGATGACACCGAAAACTGCCAAATCATTCCCCATTTTAGTGTGTGCTCAATGAACTCAGCATATTCCCGCCATACGACAGTGGCCAGGAAATAATCGGAACCAAGCAATCCTGTCAGTTATACGGTGCGCAACAATCCGTACCATTAACCAAATCTGTCCACCCGTTTCATTACGTCACCTTCCACGACCAGTATAGGTTGCTGGGGATCTATAGTAACCCGGAATCCCAACGAGCAAACAGTACATGGAGTTCCGCCTTACCTCCTGGTCCATATCCATCACTGTAACCGTCACCATATCCTCCTCCTCCGTACCCACCATATCCTAGAGGAAAAAGGTTATCATGAAGACATAGCTGTTGTCTTTATCAAATTACAATTTGTACTTGGCTACGATCTACTGGTTGGGACTCCAAGTCTGACAATATGAATCATCTACAGTACAATATAGACATCTGATTCCGGGATTTAGTTGATAAATTTTATGCTTTGTTTCTCATACTTCTTTCGATAATCCAAGCTGAGTGTCTTGATTGGCCAGATGCAAAACTATAGACTTCATACCAGTTTATAAATAAGATGTGACTGTAGACAGTCCATGGCCGGATAATTACCCTCTCATTACGGTGTCTATGGGAATTTATTCCTTGTCATCCCCCCTCCCCCATAAATTTTCATATTATTTGCAGGAATTAAGGGAAAAAATGTATTTCAGTTGAAAATACGCAACAAATACGAAAAATTTAGGACAGTTGGAAGCTATGTGTACAGATCAAAATTTGCTATCTTTAACAAAAACAATTACGCTGCTTACCTCCCCTTCCACCACCACGTCCGCCTCCTCTCATGCCACGACCCCCCCTTCCCATACCCATCTGCTGGTCTTTGTTTTGAGCCTTCTTTACTTCCACGTCCTTGCCATTTAATGAGTGTCTCTTCCGTACTGAAAACAGTCAAAGGAAATCATGGCTGGGAATAGCAGTGAATGAACGTCTAACATGGATGATGAAAGTGTAAATAATGAAGCCTGGACGGGCACACAAGTAACCATGTCACACTGTATAACAGACAGCATTCCATTAAGTATGAAGAGTTCAATCACATATATACAGGTCAGAAAGTTGGGAGTTACAGCTCAGTTCTTGTGGAACATGCGGCTTGACTGGGATACCAAGATACAGCCTTACTTACTGCCTTAGAATCTTACAAGCCTTCTCAGGAACAAAATGTTCAATATTTTCTGGTAACCCAACATCCATATAGTAAAACAGCAGGGATTTACCTAAGACTCCAAACTAAGTGCACTTGGCAGGCACACTGGTTTTTTTTTTGCATGTTCAAAATTGGGTTCCTATTTTAGGCTCAAGAAAATAATAGTCTTGGATCTTAGGCGCATCAAAGTCTGCTGCATGTTTTGTTTTTATTTCCATTTAAAAAATAAATAAAACAATCCTAATACTTGAAAACAATGCAATCCCAAATAGCAGGCAGTATATGCATCATATATCTAAATTTTGTTTCAAATGTCTTCTATTTCATATGACTTTGACCAGGAATTTATTCAAGGCATATGTTTATCAAACACTTTATAGTGAAAATATATAGGAAGTCTAAAGACAAGTTAGACCCTGTCAGCTATATTCGTGATAGAAAACGTATGATGTCCAAAAACCCATGCTGCTGAAAGCTCTGATCGAAAACAGGACAATTCGCGACGGTTGTCCAGTTTTCGATCATATTTTTCGGAGTTTTTATTTTTTTAAATCTTTGATTATATTTTTATGGGAAGATGATTTTTTCCAAGGACTACTGTTTTAAAAAACGCGATTTTCCGCGTTTCCGCGGAGATTTCACATCCCTGGCTATTAGCCCTCATATGAGAAGCACGACTTTCAGATAGAAACGTAGAACTTACGAACTGCTTTATCCACACAATCGTAATCGTCAAACTCCACGAATGCAAATCCTTTTAGTTTTCCCGTTGTCTTGTCTGTGATAAGGTTTACATTTTCAATTTTCCCGAACTCCTTGAAGACCTCTCGTACTTGTTCCTCCGTTGTGTCATCCTTGACACCACCGATGAACATCTTGTTGACAGACATCTGGCTGTCAGGGTTTCCACTCTCCTGGTGAACAAAACATTGCACTCCATCAATGAAGGGGAATAAATGAATATTTATAAGGGTTGTCATTTAACACTGCACTCAGCAATATTCCAGCTTTATGACAGTGGATTGTAAATAAGTCTGGTCTCGACAATCCAGTCACTGACAGTTTCAGCAATGATCTCTGCCATCAGCGTATGACAAGCTTAGCATACATCACCCGATCCGTTGAGGCCAATTCTAACAGGCATACCTGAGGCTTGTGTATTTATTATGAATATCAATTTTTGGAAGACGACTACAGACAATTGAAGCTAAGTCTTTGATTTGACGAGACAACACTATCCTAAATTCATGCAAAATATTTTCTCCCATTGTTGATCGTTTTCTTAAAATTAAACTTTACCATGATACAATTGTTGGGCACTGGATAGCAAAATTCACAGCTTTTTCATAAAATCTATTTTCAAGGCATCTTTAATGCAGAATCTATTTCTAAAGCCTTTTCAAAACAGACCTGTACCAAGTCAGAAGCATTGCAGCTATTACAATACTGAAAATGCATCAAAGTTAGCTTCATAACTTGCAGTTTTGTAACAATCCAATTCATGTTTCGAATCGCGAGACAAATAAGTGATTTCAACCAAGAAGCAACGGAAGACAGGATGTTTACTTTGAAAATGTATTGTAGGTGAGGCGAAATGGGTTTAACGTCGCGTCTAAGATAATTGCCCTTATAAAGCGACATGCATGCACGTGTGTGTAGCTGCTTGTACTTGTCCGGACTTATGAATACCCCATTCAGACACAATATACCGACTTCGAGCCAACCAGTCCTCATTTTAGCCCCTTAATGCCGAGCGCCAGACAGGGTAACAAAAAGTACCATCTTTTAACGTCTTTTGGTATGACGCCGCTGGGGATCGGCCCCTGACCTTCCGCTCTCCTGACAGACACTCTACCACTAGACCATGGAGGCGGTTGAAAATGTATTGTAATAGGCCTCCAGTTATCAAGAATTAGTTTCAAGCATTGGTTGATCAGCCATATTTTTTTTAAAAGCCTGAAGGTCCATGAATTGTAGGTCAGCGTCAACATATTTCATCAACGTGTCATCCCTGGCCTGCTCCCAGCCACTAAATCACCCAAATGATCAACAATTGATTCACATATTTTTACCAGATGGAATCTGTGCCAAAAGCTTTTGAGTCTATGAAACTGAATTTGGCTTTTAGCATCATCTTCAGTAGGTCTCAGTGTTATTATATGAACTCATCAGCAAGACATCTGATATATCTAAATGAGCCGATACACAATCTAAATCTGAAGAACTTAAAACTGGGACAATAGTATTATTATTAATATGTTGTTGTTTTCTTGTTTGAAACAGACCTCTCTGGGCATTGCCCTCTTAGATTCCACCTCACGGCCATCAATCTTATGTGGCCTGTTGCCCTGAGCCTCGTCAACCATGCCAGCCTCCTTGTATGTGATAAATCCAAACCCTCGGGATCTACAATCAAGTTGATAGTCAGTAACAGTAAACAATTCATGTAAGTTGTTAATATGTAAATGCTTTACAATTAACAAAAAAAACTGACTTTGGTGAGAAACACATGACTTTGAAAACACAATCTAGCAGTTACTTGAAAGATTTCTTTCATGGAATGTAAAAACTTGCTGAATTCAGATGAATTTCAGTTTTATGGGATTTAATAGCATAATCCTAAGCTATATACATGGTATATTTATACACCCATGTTTTAGAAAAATTAACCATAATGGGTGTATAATAATTGTTTCGTTACAAGATGAAGTTTTCTTTATTTTTTGCTGAAATGGACACTTTTTTAAAAGAATTAATTACCAATAGACAAATACAAAATCGTGTCGGGTGAATGCAATAAAAGTCCCAAGTATGCCAACTCTGCATGACTGTTGTGAAAACGTCCCTACCGTTTTGTCGTGGGATCCTTCATGATGATACAGTCGACAACCTGACCCCATTGTTCAAAGTGTTTCTTCAGAGTTTCATCTGTAGTTTCATAGCTAAGACCACCAATGAACAGCTTCCTATACGTTTCATGTTCTGGATCTTTGGGTCCATAGCTCGGTGGTTTCCTGGGCTGGTACTAAAGCAATAAATAGGAAAATAAGTCAGGGGTGCACTCAAGAAAGACCATGCATGCTACATGGCTTGTATACCAATATTTGGTCGCAAGATTATTTTTAGGCTTTTCCAGATTCAGCACCAGGAAGGGTAACAACAAGTACCATCTCTTAACCTCTATTGGTATGAAATAGCCGAGGATTGAACCCTCAACCTTCCACCTCCGGGCAGACACTACCATTAGACCACAAAGGAAGCCTGTCACAGTGTCAGATTAAGGGATGCAGCTGGACCTCTACTAGCACGAATACTGACTACATAACCTGAAGAAGCCTTTATGACACCTAACAGACAAACCAATTCAGGCAGTTACCAATTTGCATGCTTCAACTGCACTAATAGTGCTGTGGATTCATCCCTAAAGTCTATCCCTATGGTCTAAACGTAGGTGGACTATTGCTGAATGGGAGCAGGCATGCACCTTGGTACTAGCCTGAGTCAGTTTGTATATTATTGTTCAGGTAGTCTGAGGGCTAGTCCAGTTTCAGGCTTTTAAGCATGTTCACTAGGGTAAGGTGGCCAGTTTAGTTATTTCACAAAAAACACTAGTCCAAAATGAGCTTTTAATTAGTTTGATATGACCTATAGTGTCTACCCCTGTATTTTTCTTAAAAGCAACTAAATACCTCCTGTAAAGAGCAGTGTGACTATGACGATGGACACAAATATGCAAAAGCTGGTTCATTACTCATTCAAGTGTGGTCATTAACCAAGGGCATCTCAAATGCCTTGGGATTATTGATTATTCAAATTACCTGGACATCACTGGCGACATGTCCAGCTGTTATGTATTTCAGATGTGACTGGTAGTACTTTATTTACAATTTGATGTGGAGATACAACTGATATGCAATGCATTGAAATAAGTAACCCATATTGTCACTTTATGGTCAGTATCCAAATTCTACATGCTGACCTAGATACAATATTTACAGTCATAAACATGTATACACTATTTGATAAATAACCATCGTGTTGTTTACAGATCTACATTTGCTACTGAGGTGTGGTGCTTATCAAACCTCTAATTTTAATGGTATAAATATATGTCTGGATTGATAAGAATGCAATGAAACATGCTAGGCCCACACAAATACCACAGTTCTCAGTACTTAACATTAGGGGAGTTACATGGGCCCAAGAGTACATACAAATCCCCATGCAAACTGGTCGAGGAATCATGTTCATCCAACGACCTCAACATAGAGGAAGAAAGCACATTAATCTGGCGACTGTTGTTCAACCCGTATCGACCTTTACATGAACCTATTGGAAGGGTCATTTTCAAACTGAGCGCCATACAGGTTCACACCTAGATTTTTCGATAAATCCCCATTGCAGAACCCATGTTAAGTTTTGATGAGTATTCAGTTAACATTATAAACTAGATAAATCGACAGAAAACGCATTCTGGAGACGAATTATTCCCACACTGTAGCTGCTGTGGATTTTGAAAACCACGCTAGTTATTCGCAAGAAAATGGCGGCTAAGAACACGTGCAAATACCCACACAAAGCTTGAAATAATTGATTGTCGAATACAGATAGATTCAGGATTAAGAGGGGTATTTCGACTGTAACAAACGTAAGTAATGTTTATGTCTACACTTACAGGATCATAACCATACGGCATTTTGATGGTTTTTCGGCAGGCAAACAGGCAGTAGTAATTTGATCTCGCGGATGATGCCGGTGTTCAAACCGGAAAGGTTATTACAAAAGTTGGATTTGTTGTGCTCGGATAAATGCTACCACATAACACTCTCCCGTGCTTACATGGGAAATAAACATCAAACTATATTACTGAAGCAAAGGATTGTACAGGGACATGGGACCTAGGATATTTATTTACTTTGATGTAACACAAACAGACAGGTTAATCGTGATTCCATAATTCACATGTGGACTTTTAGGTGTACCCTTATTAATAATCGTGTAAGATCGGCTATTTCCGCCGAAATAGTTCACAAAAAGAGTTGGCATTCGGCATTCCAAGAAGATTTTGCATTAATTAGTAGCAGAAAATAATAAAATTAATAGACGACAATATAATAAATGATTATAATATGATTTGTTTTTCGGTTTCTAAATTGTGTGTTAAAATTATAACATAGGAATGTAAATATTTCTATTTAATTCATATTAAGCTTGACGAAAAAATACCGCACCTGTGAGTGAGGTAATAATTAAAAATATAGTATATTCATTAATATTTTGCGAACTACGCATGTAAATACGGAATACATAAAAAACTATCATGATTTAATTTACATGAGTTACACAATAACGGACTCGTGAAGATCCGGGTTAGAATAGGTCTTTGCTTGTCGTAAGAGGCGACTAACGGGATCGGGTGGTCAGGCTCGCTGACTTGGTTGACAAATATTTGTACAACTTGATTCAAATGAAACTGTTTTCTATAAAAAAAATCAAAAAATCTAGGGGGGCAACGGCCCTTACCCCCCCCCCCCCCCCCCCCCCCCCCCCCGGCTGGCTACGGCACTGATCAAACAAACAAAACTTGCATCTAATTCACCAGGATTATGTACAATGCACGTGCTCCACGAGTCATAGCTAGATTTCCCCGTGAAGATCCGACCGGATAAATTGGTCGTCAGCAACACAGGCTTGTCAAGAGAGTCGACTAACGGGATTGGGTAGGCAGGGACACACACATGTGAACGCGACGTTAAACCCCCATTTCACACCATCTCATTTGTGATAAGGCATTTTTTTCATACTGATCGTATAGATAATGCTATATGCAGGGCGTCGACATAAGGTACAGCAAACACCAAGCAAAGTACTCCAAGCAGATTACCCCATTTAACAGGATCATAATATTTCTTTTACTCTTTGGTTTGTTTTACACCGCACTCAGCAATATGCCAGCTATATGACGGCGGTCTGTAAATAATCGAGTCTGGGCCAATCAATCCAGTGACTGACATCATGAGCATCGATCCACGCGATCGGGATACGATGACATGCATCAACCAAGTCAGCGAGCCTGACCACCCGATCCCGTTAGTCGCCTCTTACGACAAGCATTGTCGCCTTTTACGGCAAGCATGGGTTGCTGAAGACCTATTCTACCCCGGAATCTTCACGGGTCTTGTATTATGTAACCTTTCAACAAACACCAATGTGTTATGTGTCCTGTAATAGTTAATCATATCGAAAATATAAAAATAGAAGTACATTTCGTATCTACTATTATATAATGTAGTACTTTGAAATTAGATCAAACAAATATCAGTAAATTGTACTTAAGTTTTTAAAATTATGGTTTTTTTACAAATTTATTTCACATTAGGTGCTACGATTTTACAACAGACCCTACAGGAACAGCTGTCTTAGCAATATATAGTTCTTCCGTCACCTTTTGTTCTGCCAATCATTGTGGCTGAGAGCTTCTATTCTCCGACAAAAGGTGCCTGCACAGTGACGACGAGAAGCCTCATGAATAGAATCGAGACTGTTGTTTGTTGCCGCTTTCAACACTATTCCAGCTACAAGACGACGGTCTGTAAATAATCAAGTCTGAACCTGACAATCCAGTATTGACACAATGATCATCGATCCATGCATTTGGGATACGATGACATGCATCCAGTAAATCAGCGAGCCTGACCACGCGATCCCGTTAGTCGCCTCCGAGGACAAGCGTAGTCGCAATAGTCAAAACCTATTCTAACCTGGATCTTTATGGGTCGTATCGAAAATGAATGGTTGCGTCGACACTGCCCAGGTGCCGAAACAAAACCGGATATAAGGAACTAAACACACACACACACACACACACACACACACACACACACACTACATTTATATTTGTCGTGAGGGGTTTGTTGTCTGACTAAACTAAGCCCCAAGCCTACTATAAATTCAGCGATGGTATAGGCCCCCAGGCGTGTTGCACGTGTTGAGAATGATACGCCTGAAGAATATCTTTCATAGCGTATCAGTATTTTATCATATATGCGCATGTAATTCACTGTTTATCATCCCAAACTGGCTTCTACTGGAGATATCGCTTTGAAGAGGTGGCAAGAGAGATATGGCAACAATGAAATTGCATCGTAATGCTTTGGAGACCATTGTGACATCATCGGTTTCATAACGTCACAATCAAATGACATCAGTTATCTCCCCGTCACTGAAGCTCTCTAGCTGTACATTTTACACTCAGGACACTGGTTATTACTGTTGATTACTTGCCCGTGAAGAGATCACTCGTTTAATAAACATACAGCTGTATTACACATTGTGTAATACGGGGCGGTCGGGTAGCCTAGTGGTTAAAGCGTTCGCTCGTCACGCCGAAGACCCGGGTTTGATTCCCGACATGGGTATAAAGTGTGAAGCCCATTTCTGGCGTCCCCCGCCGTGATATTGCTGGAATATTGCTAAAAGCGGCGAAAAAACCATACTCACTCACTCATTGTGTAATACAAAAGCGCGTGCTTATGTACTGTGGGAACAAGTTTCACGAACAATATTGAAAACTCTTAACATGACTATGCATTTTCAACGTGTAGATATGATAGATCAAGCAACCCTGTTCCTAGGCTGAGGTCACATGGCATTGTTTCGACGGTGGATCTTGCAACAAAATTCCACAAATTACATCATAGGGTATTGTGACGTGATTGGTTTGTTTGTTTGTTTGTTGTTTAACGTCACACTCGGCAATATTCCAGCTATATGACGGTGGTTTGTAAATAATCGAGTATGGACCAGACAATCCAGTGATTGACATCACGAGCATCGATCCACGCAATTGGGATTGATAACATGCATCAACCAAGTCAGCGAGCCTGACCACCCGATCCCGTTAGTCGCCTCTTACGACAAGCATAGTCACCTTTTATGACAAGTATGGGTTGTTGAAGACCTATTCTACCCCGGATCTTCACGGGTCGACGTAACGATGGTAGCGCAACGACACTCGTACATCTATGTATATGGAAGTTATGGATAAACGCAGCACTACGATAGCTTTTGTGAAACGGACCCTCTATTTATAGGTGGGCCGTTATATGCTATGAAATTAATAAGTATCAACTTTTGACCTGTTTGAAGTATTATTCTGTTAAACTCAATTGGTGTAGATGTCTACCTATTCACACACGACGGTGAAACTAAAAAAAGCCCCCCAAAACCAAGAAAAAAACCAACAACCTATAAACGCAAGTATACATAAAATACTAAAGTCGCTCCCGTGTAATACAAATTTCTGCAGATACCAGAACTATTCACTCGTTTCATAAATTTTGTATTGACAAACTCACCCCCTGTGATGATGTAGGTCAACCAACCTTTCCACTTAGAGTAAACTCTTTCCCCTGAGCGCGTTAAGTTGTCGAACATTGTTTCAATGTGGCATACCCCTATATTTCTCGAGTTCTAAGCACACATGTTAAAAAACCGTTTCAACTGCAAAAAGTTGGAAGAATGAGATTTAATCTTTTATCGACTTGACATATTTGATGTCAAAAGAGACTCGGGTACGATATTCTATTTATCATCCAAAACTGGCTCCCGCAGGAGATATCGCTTGGGTGAGATGAAGCAATATCTACACTGTAGATATCGCTGCAATGAAATTGCATCACAATGCTTTGCAGACCATTGTGACGTCATTGGTTACCATGACGTCACAATCAAATGACATCACTAATGGCTCTGCTACTGAAGCTGTTAGCAGTACTTTTTACACTTAAACACTGCTTTATTACTATAAACTGAAGAAGTTGGAAGAATGATGTTGGATGATAAATAAAATCTCACCCTCGTGTCTTTTGATATCAAATATATCAACACTCGTTGATAAAAGTGGAAAGACTCCTCGGCAAGCCACTCGGGTGAGATTCTCTATTTATCACCCACGTATGCATGTTTTTATAAACCCATACAAAGCCCCAGGTAATAATGATTTCACGCGCTCCTGGCGCAATATTAAGACCATTGTTGATGTGCTGTTTATGACGTCACAATAACAATGACGTGCAGCGTATCATTGTTGACGTCATATTGACCCTGTCAGCTTCAGGAGACGGTTTCCAATTAAAATGAAATACATCACTACTTCACTATAGCTAAATAATGAAGTATGCATAATATTGAACGTTTTGCATACGTGTGCGTATCAAAGTTGTTGTTATTTACGAAACTCGTGTCAAACTTTCTGGCTCGAGAAATTCAAATATTCGGACACTCGATTCGTTAAATCAGTACGGCGCGCACAGTCACTCACGTTGTAATCTCTGCGTGCATATCATACGTAGTATATGCAGACAATCCAATGATTGACACCATGAGCATCGATCCACGCATTTGGTATATCCTGACATGCATTCAACCAAGTCACCGAGCCTGACCATCCGATCCCCTTAGTCGTCTCTGACGACAAACATGGGTTGCTGGGGGCCTATATTCATACCTGGAATCCCAGGTGTATATAGAGGTAGAATAGCTTTCCAATAAAACTGTTTTATCATGGGAACCCGATGTTTTGCCGCTTTGAACCGTATTCCAGTTATATGGCGTGTCAGCTTGATGTGGGAGGAAAGCCCGAAGTGATGCAGGTCTCAGATGTTTACCACTTCGGTGAAACCCACGAGCACGGGTATGGTGCTGACAAAAACCTAGAAACATAATCGGTAAATGGATAAAATAAGTCCCAGCAAAGCTTTTGACGTCCTTGGAGTGAACAATGGCGTATACTAGTAAACCCCGATTGGTTTTCACTCCATGTATTGTTTGGTATCTAAGTACCAGTTAGTACGCTGGCATGAAATCCTTGGGCAATTTCTGTGACACCATTACTTCATGTAGATATGTAGATTAAATATCCTACACTGAAGGACAATTTTGCATACCGTGTACGCACGTTTTAAATAATAGAGTATCTTCGCATACTTTTACTCCCTACTCCCTTGCCTCAATATCAAAATACGTTTGATAATTTAACAATTTCTGTTCATGATTCAATCCTGAGAGAGTGAGTTTGATTTAGTGCCCCTAATGCCCCTATAATGAACAGTATTCCAGTTGTATCATGGTAGGGGGAAAGCCCGAAGTGATGCACGTCTCAGACGTTTACCACTTTGGCGAAATAAAACCAATGGGTATGGTGCTGACAAACCAAGAAACATAATACAGTAAACAACGGTTATAACGAACACGCTTATAACGAACTGACGGATATAACGAACTAACTTTTTAGTCCCGACTATTTGCTGTAGTTATGTTGTATATATGCTTATAACGAACTCCGGTTATAACGAACTAAAAATAGTAGTCCCTTTGAGTTCGTTATAACCGTAGTTTACTGTAATAGGTTTCTGGCGAGCCCAAGGGACGCAACTCTACGCAGCGAATTGCGGCGCCTTAGATTATATTGTTTGTTAAACGCCACACTCAGCAATATTCCAGCTACATCCCAGGTAGCATGCCATCATCGGCCCTGCATCGGCCCAACGTCGGCTACACCATCGGCCCAACGTCGGCAAACTGCATCGGGCCGATGAAGTTTTGCTCATCGGATCGACATCGGCCCAACGCCGGCAAACGTCATCGGCCCTGCATCGGCACTGCACCGGCCCAGCATCGGCCCAGCGTCGGCAAACATCGTCGGGCCGATGAAGTTTTGCTCATCGGATCGACATCGGCCCAACGTTGGCAAACATCATCAGCCCTGCATCGGCAATGCACCGGCCCAGCATTGGCCCAACGTGGGCAAACAATGTCGGGCCGATGAAGTTTTGCTCATCGGATCGACATCGGCCCAACGTCGTAAATAGTTATCTGGCCAGCCTCCGGCAACTGTTATGGAATCAGCATCGGATGGACATCGGCCCAACGTCGACAATAATTATCAGCGCAGCATCTGCCATTGTCTTAAATAGGCTGATGCCATCAGAAGTCATAACTGACAACATCTCATCTTAATATTTCATGTAAATGATGCCACAATAGAACTTTTCCAAGTGTAGTGTTAGGGTACATAAAACTAAACATTTCTAAAAGCTGCAGCTAGCCATGATGTTAAAGTTACAAAGATAAAAGGTAAAACTAAAAAATACTAAAATTTTTAAAAAGATAATAATTTTTTATCATAGTTAATACTTTGAAAACCAAATGTGAGTAATATAAATACTTCTAGCTGTACAATACAATCGAAATGCTTACACTAGTTACAGTACTATTTTTATGTACCCTAATACATGTGTAGTTAATACTTATAAAAAACACAAACAGCAAAATAGAATAATAAACTTTATTATTAATTAATTATTATTTACAAGAAAACAGTGTTACTACCTGCAACAAGGCGGATGTGAAACATATATTCTCAAAACCTGTTTTAAAACACAGTCTAAACATATACCCCTCCTATTGGCCTGCAAAATTTCATTTATGTGGCTTCAAATTCGTTTGCAAGACAAACTCCCCCCCCCCCCCCTAAAATAGCATGAAGCAAAGGCCATAACTCCATACAAAATTAGTTCTTATAAGTTATAACCATCTTCTGGAGTTTGTACCTTAGGTAAGCACGGAAAGTTTCATTTATTAACTTCAGTAGTGTCCAAGAGAACCTGGCAGAATATGTACCAAGTTCAAAAACAAGGGTCATAACCCTGTGAAAAATATGTTGTCAACACCAACATTTTGGATTTCTTTGTTCCGTTGCAATTCAGCACTTTCGTTTGCAGATTCTCTATCTACATCTCTGTTTTTCAGTACGCGTTTTCCTTATGCCATTTCTAAGCCTTGCTCCTGGAACTCGAAGCCATTCTTTTACACAGGTCACCATGTACTTGTCAGTGGCTTGTAAGAGCCCAGCTGCAGGCTTCCTCCTCAGCTTCTGTTTACAAATGATAGCAAAAAATGTCAGTGTGCATATTATAAGTCATTGCATGCACTCTCACAATTACAAGAAATGGACTTCACAAGTGTGTTTACATAATGGAATAATAGAATAAGTAATACCCTGTTCACATGCACCACCTTACATATGTGTGTATATTTTATTTTAAGTCTTGACACCTGTTAATAAATACAGGGTTCACTCAAGGAATTTTCTGCCATGGGCCCTTTATGTGACAATTTCATATATTCCCTAGGTACACCCGCACTTGCCCATACAGCACAATGTTAAAATGCCCCATTGTATTTGAAAATGTGGGCCTTTTTCCAAATTTAGGGGCTAAAAGCAGAAGGCCCCACCCTAGAATTATCGGAATCCAAGTAAGTAAATTGATGAGTTAATAATATGTGTAAATAAGTAAATTGAATTATGTGTAATTATATACGAAAATAACATAACAACTCCCAATATTGTATGGTAGGTCCCTAATCTGTTTCTTATGTCAATTAAAAAAGATTTTATAAATGACATATCACCCTATTCATTTAGCCCAATAAAAATCCCCAATAACCACATAACACCCCTCCTCCAATCTTGCTGGAGAACAGTTTTAGGTGTGCAATCTCTCTTGTATGTCCATCAAAAGTAAGTCAGCATGAAATTTCATTTGGAAGATTACCATAGTAAGTGTCAAGGGCCCTTAATAGGGCAAACATGATATTAAATATATGCTTATAAATATTTCGAGCAGAAACATGTATCAGTTGGTTTGGTTTGTTGTTTAACGCCTCACTCAGCAATATTCCAGCTATATGACGGCGGTCTGTAAATGATCGAGTCTGGACAAGACAATCAAGTGATTAACATCATGAGCATCAATCCATGCAATTGGGATCGATGACATGCATCAACCAAGTCAGAGAGCCTCACCTCCCGTTCCCATTAGTCGCCTCATACGACATGCATAATTGCCTTTTACGGCAAACATGGGTTGCTGAAGATATCTTCTACCCCGGATCTTCTATATGAATCAAAATTGGAGTAAACTTCCCATACTTGATACATCTAAAGAAATTTAATTCACTCACCAGTTCTCTCTCAGTTGCTCGATTTTGGAAAAGCTGCTAAGAGTTCATTCAGCTCATCCATGTTTGCCAATAGGCAATGGCTAAACATCTGATTTTCTTAAATAGAAATATAAGAATATTACATGTCAAGTTTGTGTAGCAGCAGTGAGCACGTAGCTATTATGGTGATGATGTCAAGAGGTTGAGGGGAATATTGCTCAAAACATAAAAGTAACATTTAAATAAAGCTTTGGCCATACACAGATATCAGGTCCTTTCCTTAAGTCATACATCTTATCTCATATATTTGCACTTGTACATACAGTCCTTATCTGGAGCCATGTAGCAGAAATAATTTCCCAGGGAAAGTAGTTTCACGTTAATAGCCATAGCCACATCCATTGAAAAGCAGTGAGAAAATCCCCATATTGACATAATGTTGAACAGATCCTGTGAAGTCTGGTTACCACAAAACAGATTTCATTTATTATATGATGCCAAAATATATGTAGATTACATCATGGTTAACCAAAACTGCAAATAAACGTTTATCATTAAAAGATCAGATACAAAGGTATGTACATATTACAAACACTTGTATGCAAAAAATAGCAGGAAAGTATTGGGGACAAGTAATTTTAATTTTTAATTTAATTTAATTTAATTTTTTTATTCAGAATAAATCAAATTTGAAACAAGGCTGTGGGTGTTTTTCTACAATGGATAATGTCCTGAAAAATCTGTACTGAAGTATCTTCATCAAAGTTTTACCATAAATTTGAATTTTGATTAAATAAATGACATTCTAAATTGTCTTGGATTATATATTTAGCATCATACCTTTGAAATAGTACATTTAAAATTTTTTAATTCAGTATTTCATCAAAAATGTACATCATAAATTACTTAACTAGATAAGACTACCATACCCCCCCAAAAAAAAAACCACACAAACATCCCCTAAAAATCCATTCTGAAATAGCCATATCTCAAAACCTCAATCGATCGATACAGATACCATACATCGGTATAAGATTTCTGATCGATTATAGGCATATGTCTATGTAAGGTATCCAGCAGATCTTGATAAAATTGCCCACACCTGTAATGCGCAGTGATCCGTTTACTAAAAGAGCTGTCCTTTCATTTCGCCCATTATCCAGAAAAAGTTCAAAATTCGCAAGTAACTATGACATTTAAAAACATTTTTTTATTTTTTTTATTTCAACCTTTTGGTGATCGAAAACCAAACTCGGCAGTGAAGCTCCGTTCATCGATATGTAGGAAACATTAGCTGGATCGCATGACATGCACCCGCAATGCTGAAAGTTTCCGAAAGCCTCGTTATGAATTTCATGTTCACTGCTTTTTCCGCTGACAGCAATCACAAAATTGACTTGTAAATTCGAGTTTGTAATTAATTTCCTAACCTCATCCATCCCCACACTTAACAAATACGCCTGTGACAATGACAAATAAAGCAATGTTCATTCAAAAATACTAATGTAAGTAAAAGTTTGGCTATTCATTTGCTTGCCGCTGTAATACTCTCACCCCGAGATTGCGACTCGTTGGTTGAACATCGCTGAATCTACATGGACATAAAACATATCTTGTCATGTTTTGTATTTGCCCTTGTCCCCGCGTTTTGCTAGAAATATGTATATGGTGTTTAAAAAATACAAATAGAGAATCTGGTGAGGATGCAGTGTCACGACATATTCCACGGATTTTGACACTGACGTAGAATTGACAGGAGTGTGTTTCTCGAACCTCCAAAACACATAGGCCTAGATTTCTCCCTTCACGTTGACACTTATAAATGTACACTGTTTCTCGTTTCAATTGTAAGGTTTGAAAATGAAATAAACACCTCGTAAATACAGTAATGAAGTAAACACTTACCGCAAAATAGGTTTTCCCTCAGCCCTCCACGCATCATCCTTTCGTCGTCTGCTTGAAAAGACGCGCGTGAGTAACAGCGCCCTCTATAACAAGAGTAGCTTCCCTTGGAAACATGCTGTGAAAACGTTGGATCAACGTAACATAACCGCTCGCGATATTCCAAACTTTTGCCAATATCATGTAATTTGCTGAATGAATTGTAAGATGTGACGAATCCCGTCTGTATCTTCTCTGTCTGTTGTATATGTGCAGCCAAAATGGTCAGTGAATGTGCTTGATCTATTTAATTTAAAATTTAAAAATAAAGTTAATATTTTGAGTTCGAATAGAATTATTGTATTATTCGTAAATATACTTGATCTATTATTTGTCACATTGTAATCGACAAATGTGTTTTTTTCTTTTATGTTATCATAACAAGATCAAATCATATATCAGGTTCAATGTCAGTGCCAATCACCAGCATTGGCCTGACAGCGGACCGCTGCAGTTTGCCGATGCCGATATTGCCGGCGGTTGCCGATGCAAAGCCAACGTCGGCCCGACGTAGGTGTGCTAGCTGGGATGACGGTTGTCTGTAAATAATCGAGTCTGGACCAGACACTCCAGTGATTGACATCATGGGCATCGATCTACGCAATTGGGATACGATGACATGTATCAACCAAGCCAGCGAGCCTGACCGCCCGATTCCGTTAGTCGCCTCTTACGACAAGCGTCTGGGCCACCCAAGCTCACCAGGACACTGAAGGCAAAGAGTGTACTTGTACTGTTATTCTCATTCTCTATACACACTTGAACCTACACTACCTATAACATGTATACAAACGGTTTGATACAATCAATTCTCTTGTCTGGAGCCCAGATATGGGGATTCCAGCATTTTGAAGTAATCGCTAAAATACATTTATTGGCTTATATACAATGAAGAACGATGTGTGATTTAGTTCACGATAAAACATTGTTCTGTCATGACGTCATTTCTGGAGATTCGAACATGCGCTCGCAACTTGATGACGTCGTACTATTGGACGACATTATGTTTGAGAGGGAGTGTCTAATAAGTTGTTCTACATATAGATATAGCTAGGCAACAGTAATTAAAGAAAATTGTTATCCATAAATTGTGTCTACTTTGTCGCCTTGCAGGGTTTTACTGTACGATAAACAACGACCACGAGTCGTATATATTTTAAGTAAAAGGTTTCCCAATGTTGGTTAACCAACTCCAAAATGTGTGGCGTGAATGTGGGTGGTGTGGCGAGGAAACTTTTTGCGGTATTTTCTTGGGAATGGTCATCTAGTTCTCCGAAACCCGTACCTGTTTTTGCTCCGATATGGTATCCTTATTCAAAGTAAACCTTCCATGACATAAACGTATTATAATGAAACTGATAAGAAAGATATTGGTATACATCTTTGGTAAACATATTTAATGATTTGTAACCAACAGATGTAGAAATGCCTGTACAGTAAACTACGTTTATAACGAACACGCTTATAACGAACTGACGGATATAACGAACATATTTTTTAGTCCCGGTCATTTCTTGTATATATGCTGTATGTATGTTTATAACGAACTACGGCTATTACGAACTAAAATTAGTGGTCCCTTTGGGTTCGTTATAACCGTAGTTTACTGTAATTTGTACAGCGCACACTGGCAGACATGTCTTGCCGTAGCCTCCAGTTTGACACTAAACGAGGGACGGGTGAGGGGGATATATGAACCGCTGCTGGATTCATTATATCCCCTGGTCTTACATCACCTTTCCCGTGGTCATGGCGTTGAGGTGTCAAACGTCTCCGAATTTCCTCCTGGAGTTTCCAAGTCAGTAAAGGTGACCCACCCCATGGTGTTCGTAGTAGCCGATTAAATAACAACGGGAGGTCAGCCCCTGTGACCTACCGATTGTGCGTCATCGTACCCCGATGGCATGGATCGATGCTCATGCTTTCAGTCACTTGTTTGTGTGGTCCAGACTCGATTACTAACGGGACGTCATGGCATAGCTGGAATGCTGATTGACATGTTAAACAATGTTCACTCACTCATCATACTCCGTGGCTTACCTGGGTCACTTTGCCCACTGGTTAATAAAGACAGGATATCTTGTTCCACTGTGTGACATAAACATGATATCATCTGCCACTGAGTAATGAAGACAGGATATCTTGTGCCACTGTGTGATCTGAACACAATACCCAGGGCAGTTTAATAATGCAGGCAGTATATCTGATGCAACTGTGTGAAAAGAAAACACAATAAACAGGGCAGTTAAAAAATGCAGGCAGTATATCTGAAGCCACTGTGTGAAAAGAAAACACAATACACAGGGCAGTTAAATAATGCAGAGAGTATATCTTGAGCCACTGTGTGATATAAACACAATATCCTGGGTAGCTGAGTAATGCAGACATTATATTTTGTGCCACTGTGTGATATAAACACAATATCCCCGGCAGCTGAGTAATGCAGACATTATATTTTGTGCCACTGTGTGATATAAACACAATATCCCCGGCAGCTGAGTAATGCAGACATTATATTTTGTGCCACTGTGTGATATAAACACAATATCTTGGGCAGCTGACTAATGTAGACAGTATATCTGGTGCCACTGTGTGATATAAACTCAATATCCTGGGTAGCTGAGTTATGCAGGAAAATATATCTGGTGCCACTGTGTGATATTAACACAATATCCTATCTCTAAACACAATATCCTGGGGAGCTGAGTAATGCAGACAGTATATTTTGTGCCACTGTGTGATATGAACACAGTATCTTGGGCAGCTGACTAATGTAGACAGTATGTCTGGTGCCACTGTATGATATAAAAACAATGTCCTGGTAGTTGAGAAATGCAGACAGTGTATCCTGAGTCACTGTGTGATATAAACACAATATCCTTGGCCGCTGAGTAATGCAGTCAGTATTTCTGGCGCCGCTGTGTGATATAAACTCAAGATATCCTATCTATAAACACAATATCCTGGGGAGCTGAGTAATGCAGACAGTATATCTGGCACCACTGTATGATATAAACACAATATCCTGGTAGTTGAGTAATGCAGTCAGTATTTCTGGCGCCACTGTGTGATATAAACTCAGGATATCCTATCTATAAACACAATATCCTGGGGAGCTGAGTAATGCAGACAGTATATCTGGCACCACTGTATGATATAAACACAATATCCTGGTAGTTGAGTAATGCAGTCAGTATTTCTGGCGCCACTGTGTGATATAAATTCAAGATATCCTATCTATAAACACAATATCCTGGGCAACTGAGTAATGCAGACAGTATAGTTTGTGCCACTGTGTGATATAAACTCAAGATATCCTATCTATAAACACAATATCCTGGGCAACTGAGTAATGCAGACAGTATAGTTTGTACCACTGTGTGATATGAACACAATATCCCAGGCAGCTGAGTAATGCAGACAGTATGTCTGGTGCCACTGTGTGATATTAAGACAATATCCTGGTAGCTTAGTAATGCAGACAGTATATCTGGTGCCACTGTGTGATATATACACAATATCCCGGTAGCTGTGTAATGCAGACAGTATATCTGGTGCCAATGTGTGATAATAAGACAATATCCTGGTAGCTGAGTAATGCAGACAGAATATCTGATGCCACTGTGTGATATAAACACAATATCCTGGGTAGCTGAGTAATGCAGACATTATATTTTGTGCCACTGTGTGAAATGAACACCATATCCTCGGCAGCTGAGTAATGCAGACAGTATATATCTGGTGCCACTGTGTGATATCCCATCACTATGTGATACAGACAGGTTATCCCATCACTGTGTGACACAGACAGGCTATCCTGCCACTTTGTGATACAGACAGGCTATCCCGTCACTGTGTGATACAGACAGACTATCCTGCCACTATGTGATACAGACAGGCTATCCCGTCACTATGTGATACAGACAGGCTATCCCGTCACTATGTGATACAGACAGGCTATCCCGTCACTATGTGATACAGACAGGCTATCCCGTCACTATGTGATACAGACAGGCTATCCCGTCACTATGTGATACAGACAGGCTATCCTGCCACTTTGTGATACAGACAGGCTATCCCGTCACTGTGTGATACAGACAGGCTATCCTGCCACTATGTGTATACAGACAGGCTATCCCGTCACTATGTGATACAGACAGGCTATCCCGTCACTATGTGATACAGACAGGTTATCCTGCCACTATGTGTATACAGACAGGCTATCCTGTGACTGTGATACAGACAGGCTATCCTGTTACCGTGTAATTCATAATATGTTAAATCCAGAGTAGTGTAAGGCATAACACAATCAAAGTCACAGTCCCAATACCTATTTTAGTCTGCTGTTACACCAAGCATGAGGTACTGGGGACCTATCCAGAATCCCAACAGATTGGCAGTCACCAGTGTTCCAAACTAAGGAGAGGCGGGGGACATCGAGGTTTGCTCCTTTACTATTATCCAGGATCCTCAAAATCTTTACCCCTCAACATTCAGGCTGTCACAAAGACCCCTTGACTTTCATGCACATCTGAGGTCCTGGACAAGGATATATTAAAAAGAATTGGTTCTCAGGCAATGACTTTTGAAAATAGAGAGCAGACGGGCGGTGTTTCTTGTTTGTTTGCTTGTTCAAACTAGTATGTAACCATGTAAACAGTTGTGTACCATCAGTCTAGGAAAGGGCCTCCCTACATAAACAAGCATACAAACTCCTATTGTCGTCATGACAAAAACTCGAGATTCACAGTAAAGCAGTGTCCATGTAAAAGGAAAGCACCTTTTGCTATATTGAATTACATTGTTTTTAAGTTAAAGGTTTTTTTTATTTGTTTGAAATTGAAATGAAAAAGAAATGTGCGTCTGACTGAATGATGCGGATGGTGCCTGAGAACCAAGGAATAACTGAAAGAAAAATAACAGAAACAGATAGGTACATACAAATTAGTTTATTTTCTTGGGTGTCAACTTTCAAATACAGACTGGTCTGCAAACCGAACTTTCTGACGAAAACTGCGACACAGTATTTTCAACACAGCACTAAATAGATTTTCAACAGCCTCTCAATGATATTTAGGC